AACCAAATATGTTTTTAAAAGCTTGCTAATAGAACTACAAAACATTTTGTCTTAACACACTGGTAAATAGTATTATTCTCTACCTTATTTGTACTGAAAGATTCAGTTTTACTCCATTTCATTTGCATGCAACATAATATTTAAAATAGAAAATGCATGGTGTAGGCAATGGTGCATAACATCTCTCCTCTCAGAAAGCATTTGCAACTATATCTTATGTGTTATTATTTGTTGCATGTTCCAGTTATACAGTGAAAGTACTTTTTGAGTTTTGGTTTTGGGGTTTTTTTTAAAGCATGCTAAGGCACAAGAAGAGTGCTCTCCTAAGTTTCCTCCTTGGGCTGCATGGGTCCATAACCAGTTCCATGAAACACCCTCTGACTTAGTGGGTCAGCATCACAGGCAGCCTGGCCAACTTCACCTGCTGGCCAGGGCTCCTTTTCCTGCTCATACATTGGCCTACAAAGCACCTGCAGCAGTAACAATGCACATATAATTTCTTTTCTGGTACCACATCTTACTGAGATACTCTGCCCAAGGCTTTTCCACTGGCCAATATCGCATTAAGCTAAATAGCTAAATCTTCTCTTCCTTGATGGAAAAGCAAAGGACAGACTGGATACCCTCAAAGTCACTGTTTTTCCTTCAATACCACCAAATTTATTGTGCTGCTTCTGGAAAAACCCCATGATCTTACAGGTATAAACTCACTCATTTCTCCCAGCAACCCAATGTAATGGCAGTGAGATTTCCCTATTATCCAGCAGTTGACAACAAAGTTGCATATCTTGCTTGAAAGACTGTTGGTGAGGGAGAGAGGAAAATAACAGAGAATAGGAAAATTAAATGCTTCTCCCAATCCCACATCACTTCAAGAAGCCTATTGCTTCAAGTCCATTACCCCCAGTAACACCAAGTGCAGCAAGATACACGCCTGCATGCCCTGAGCAAGGACACCCTCAGAAATTTCCCCACCTCCAACTGATCTTATTTTCTTCTCCAGAATCCAGAGCTGCTAACATTTGGAATCCCAGCACCTCTGCTAGTACTTGTTTAAATGTCATTCTCCAGCTAAAAATTGGAGAAAGAAATCTGCCTTAGCACTGCATAGATCATCCATAGGAGAGTTATATACAGTAGGGAACCATTTGCATGTCCCGGGGGGTTTTCTTCATTCCAAACACTGGCATGAATGACATTTCACTGTTACAAACTGAAAAAACCCAACAGCAGAAACAAGGGAGGTATGGTGGAAGACACATGCCAGGACACCCAAGTGGAAAGTGGGAAGTTTAGGCAGGAGAGGTACAAAAACAAACTCTTGGCCCATGTTACACATTTCAAGGACGTGTCTTGCCTCTGTTTATGTCAGGGACATCTACAGGGATCACACAACCCAGGTCCTCTGCCACCATGTTGTTTTGCAGCTTATCAACAAAGCAGTCCCACCAACCAACACCAACACATTTTACTGCCTGCTACCTTTGTGTAACTCTTTAACTAACTCCTGTCTTCATGTAACCTCAAACTGGGGGGTAAAATTTATGGACACTTCGAACATCAGCAATGCAAATGGTGCTTATAACATCTGAAGCCAGTGTAAGCAATGCAGCTGTTTCTAAACAACCGCTCTTGACTTCTGATCATTAAAACTGCCATTAGAAGTGGCATCTTCTACACCTCCTGATGTAGGTTCAGATAAAATGCTCATATTACATGGTTCACAAAATAAACAAATCTGAAAACTGCGATCCAAGTTTAACTTTGTACAGAATGAAAAAAAAAAAGTTTTATGGAAAAGATTTTATGGACACAAATGTTTGCTATAAAAAAATTCAAAGAAAACAGATTTTGTTTGGATGTAAACATTCCCCTGCTGCCTTGGAAATATTGACACAGCAACACTGCACTGAGACATTATGAAAAAGAAACCATTCTTTACAGTAAAGAAAGAGCAAAAACCACCAAAAAAGGTAAAAGTAAGTACTTACTGAATTATTTCAAGTTTACAAAAATGTAAGATACCATAAACACGTTCCTGCTTTTTAAATCTCCGGTGCTATTTAGCTGATTGCCCAGTAAACTGCTAAACTGCAAAGTTGCCAACTGGTTTTGATGAGAGTTCCCAGGGGAAGAAGAAAAACTTGCTGGACCCAGATGATTTTATGGATAAAAATGTTATGTCCTTTATTGGACTGGGCTGGTGCATGCTGAACTTCGTGAGAGGCAAAAAGACAAACCTGAGTGCCAAACCAAGAGGGGAAAAGTAACATCTAGCTCTGTGATTTCTCCAGCTGAGTTTTCAGAGACCATCTCTTTGCAGAAAGAACTACCAAAAGTACTCCATAGACACTATCAGTTGTTGCAGCATATGTTAAGCATATGACCTAAAAAGAAGTTTGGTAACTTCACTGAGAAACATTTCCACCAACACCGAGGCTGTTAGAACTGAGTCACATCCCTCCCTTCAGAGGTTACAACAGCCTTTTGGAGGAGTGGGCAAAAAAACTGTTGCCAATGTCACTGGCTTCTCAAAAACACACAAGCCTTGCAGGAAGCTGAGTCGTCTCCTGTGTGCACTCCATCCAGCCACACTTAAGACACTGATTTCCTTAATGTGAGACCATGAGCATCACAGACCTACCTACAGAGGCGAAAGGCTCTGTACATGCAGACAGGCCAGTCAGGTGCTGCCTGATCCCACAGCTGGCCCTCAGAACGTGTTTGCTATGCTCATCAGATTTGTATAAAGAAGATTACCAAATTGGCAAGATGATGGGAGACACCAGAAGATAAGAAAGTGATGTTTTAAGCTTAAATTTGAAGTCACATTGAATAACTGGCAGAATCTCATCTGAGATCAGAAGTAATGATTTTGCTCAACTGCAGATGAGACAGGCTACCCCACATGCAAAATATTCTGCTGTCATTTTACCTTTAAAGACACATCATTATGACCAAAAGTAGTAACAGCCTCGAGGTTTCAAGATGCTTCAAGTACCTTAAACTGAACTGCTGCAACAGGTGGAAGTTAGAAACTTGAGTCCACTTTTGAGTAGAAATTTGGAAATTTGAGAAATTTAGAAATTAGAAAGTAGAAATTTGAGTCTACTTTTGCGGAAGCTCAACTCTGAACAACCGAGGCATGTCAGCCTGATAAAGACTTGTGTATTTTAGTCTCAATCCTACATTGCAACACATTTTGTGCTCTCAGAGTCACATTGCACTGGTTTTAATTTGTTCTTTGCAATGTGTATCAATCCAGCACATGAAAAAGCACATCTGTGAAAAAGAATCCTATCCTGCTAGAAATCCCTAAAAATAAACTCATCTGAAATTACTCCCCAGAAGTATATGCTCCTTAATTCTAGTCAACTGAGAGAAAATTCTTTTTCCGTAAGATGCTGGTCCTCCCAAACAAATCAATTTCCACGCATTTTACAAGTACTCCCAACTGGAAATTCCATGTCTTGGTGAAAAGCTTTGCAGCACCTTTGTAAAAATCTTCAAATTCTTCATGCTGCCTGCCATATCATGTAAATGACAGCAAGTTTAGCTTCTAATCACCAAAAAACCTACTCATAAATCAGAGGTGAACAGAATAAGTACAATTTGGCATCACCCTTTCAATAGCCATCACGCTGACTCACCAAGGACAGGATATCAGGAGCTGTAAAGATAAGGTTCACTCGGAGTCAAGGACATAGGCAAACCTGTGCAGTAACTAACTGTTAAAATTTGAAGAAACCCATTTAAGTCCAACACTTTTAACAAGAAACTAGCGCACAAGAAAGTTTCATGCAAAAGCTTAGAGCACACCAATAAGGGGGAAAGCACACGTGCAATAATAAACCCCAAAGCAAGGATGCACAAGTACCACAGTGAAATTACTGTGTGGCTCCAAGAGAGTGATGAAGAAGGAAAAAAACAAGGGGAGAAGTGGGAGGTCCCATATGCTGTAAAAACAGCACTGCCAATAATGTGAAATTCAAGTTTTTTTATGAAAGCAGAAAGAAAAGTTTTAAGCAGCCACTGACACTGGAGAGCAAGACAGAGCTCTGGCAATTGTCTACAGCAGACACAAAAGACAGGGTGGTCCAACCCAGCACCAGTAGCAACCAGGAAACTGAGAGGTGACAGAGTGCCAGGAAGAGCACCAGACTGTAAGAAGGCTGGAGAGAGTAACAAAATCCCAAAAAAATTCTTGGCAGGACTCATTAAAGAACATTAGGAAGTGTTTCAGACTCCAGCTGGGTATGCTGCTCCCAAATAAGACACAAAAACCAAAACTGTTCCTGCTTTGCTGCTCTGAGTCAGTAGGTTAAGACCCACACTTGTACAATTCATGAGGGAGACAGAAGAGATCAGTATTTGCTCATCCCTCCCCCCACTCCCCCTCTCCCAAATCCTGCCACTATTACAGCAATTCCTCAGGAGGGGATGCCTGCAGTGATGGAGCAGGCATGTAGTTTATGTAGCAACGACAGTAACAAACGCAGCACAGACCAGTGAGTAACCAAGTTCTGATTTCTTAAGACAACAAGGGAAAATTTGCATGAATGATCTGATGATTGAGCTTAAGCCTTTTCTCAAAAATTAAAAGTAATTTTGAAACTTGTAATTCCATCTGTAAAAATGCTCTATATTCTACTGTATTGAATGCAGAATCAGTTTGAGTTCGGAGACCATTAAAATACTGCTATTTTAGCACAGCAGCTATTGCATTTTCAGATAGATCAAGCTCTGATACCCATCACTGTCTAAACAAGTGGCAGATGAATAAGCTACAACAATTACAGTCACATTATGAAGCCTTTATGCAAAATATTGGAAGCAAATTTCAAAGGCTGTTTTCTCTTGATAGTTAAAACTTGGTTGTGCTTTACAAACTGAAAACCAAAAATTTTGTAAAAGGTCAGGTGATGGAAGAAAGTGATAACAAAAGGGAAGTGGCAATATAAGAACAAAGAAGGAAAAAAACACTAAGATTAAGAACAGCATTTGAATATAAAAATTTATTTAGGTGAAGTCACAAACAGTTTGATATCAATTTACAAACACTCCATGTTACGCATATTATTGGAACTATCAAGAAAGGTAAAGAAGAGGAGATAATGGCAACTTTTTCCTGAAACAACTAAAGGCAAACCCTTACCATCATGCGCGTTACTGGATCATAGTATTACCTTGATCATAACCCCTAGTATGCAAGGAAAAAGGAGAAGAAAACAAAACACTGAGATGCAGAACGATTAAACCGTGAACCAGTGAACATAATTTTCATGAACACCAGACTACAAAGGTGTAGCCTGATGCTCAGGATTGTAAGTATTCTAACAAGGATAAAAACAGAATTGTAATTTAGATCAATTAATATAGTTGAAGAATTTTGTAATGCACAGTTGGGCTATCTGGCGATGACAGCAATGGTTAACGCATTTTTTAAAGAACAATGGAGAGGTGATACTGAGCCTCACAGAATAATTCTGTTGACAACCTGAGTTATTATAGCAAGTGTATGATACTGTTTTGAGTCAAATACACATTTATGTTGCAGATATTCTCAATGAAATGGCAAAGTAACAGCTGTAACAAGACAAGTTATGATTTATTTTTTTTGAAACAAATATAATACATAAGGTTTTGAAGTGTCCGGTTGTGATCTGCAAAGATCCAGGATTGCACACAGTTTGGTCAAATGAGAAGGTTTAATCTGCGCATTAAATTGGCTTTTACTTTCAAAGTAGTATTTTAGGGCAGGGTTCTCCTCCGGGAGACTGTTCCTGACCTCATTCAACCAATGTTCAATTTATTCACCTTCCTGAATCTTTGCCCTCTTTGGATAGTCTGTGACAAGTGCTGCGCTGCAGGAATTCCTGTTTTCCAGCAAACTGGCTTGCTCTGCAGGTTTGTAGTCCATTGTTACAATTGCTGATTGGGTAAAATGAATTTCCTACGTCTTCTCTAGCACAGCTTGCAACGCAACAGAAGAAGAGGTAAAAGAATGCACTAGAATACCAGAGCTCCACTTAAACACCAACGGAGTCAGGCTGTTGGCACCAACAAAAAATTCTGTATTTAACAAATCTGCAAATATTTAGGATCCAAAGTTAGTCAGTTTTATAAATAAACTCACCCACTTAGTCTGACTGCCATCCCAACTGGCGTTCTGTTTTCATGGAGTCTGGGGAAAAAAAGAGAATTGTCTGAAGTTATCCATACAGACATAAATTTGCAGGAATGAGTATCAGCTACCCTACATACATTCCAGCTACCACACTCAAACTAAAACTAGGGTTTCTCACTTCATTCTTTCCATGTAAAGCAAAGTTACAGCTCTCCACCACTGCCTTAGAAAGGACAGATAGCTTCAGAAGACAGACACTTTGCTTACATTGACTTTGTTTTTACTGTTTAACCATCTGTGGAAACGCAGAAAGAGATACAGTCACTAAACTAAATGATGCTGAAATTCCAGTTTTTGACTGAGAGGGGAAATGAAATTCAGTCATGGTGCCTAATGCTATCTGTTGAAATTACAGAACCAAAACCAGTTCAAACCAACAATCTGGAAAAGGTTTTTGTAGAACACCTCCTCTTCCTCTTGACAGCATGAATGTGGGAAAGCTTAGGTTCTGGCCAAAATTGTAAGCCGATAAAAGGCTATTCTCTCCCATTTTAATTCTCCAGTTCTTTTGCAGGAATGACTATCAGCTATATGTGTGATGTCACATCTTATCTTACTGAAGTAGTTTTACACAACATAGTTAGAGCTTGCAAGGCACTGGGGAGGTGTTGGGGAAACACAGAAGTCACCTCCAAGAAAATAATTCCTTACTGATGCCTTGCCAATGATAAACTCGTGCTTTATCCTAGGCCTTATTTACATTTAACAGCTGCTCAAACCCTTATTTAAGTTAAGGACATTTTTAAGCAGTTATAAGAGACTATGTGCTACCAATTAAAAACTGCTCTAATAATAGGAAAGTGGTTGAAACCACACTGAACAATTGCAAAACTTTTACTTTCTCATTGTGCTGCTAAAGCACTACTCTTTTTACAAAGATTAAACTTTCAGTATTTTGTAAGTTCAGTTAAACATTTTTCATTTACACACTTTCTGGGGGGAAAAGTATCAATGCCTCTGCTAAAAATCAGTTGGGAAGCTTCCATGAAATCAAAGGGGATCAAGACCTCTGGCGCCTCAGCAGACAACAGATCAAAGGTCTGCACTGACAGACCAGCTGCTGCTGCAGAAGTTACAAGAGCAGGTAACATGACAAGCTGAAGGTCCAGTCTCAGATGAGATGAAAGCTATAAGCCATTGCCCATCTGGTGCTCAACTGAGATCTGCAGGAGAACAAGAACTAAGCCGTTGTTCTTGAGAATGGAGAAATATAAACAAGATATCAGAAAAAGTTGCAAGAACATAGAGCATCAACCACAGAAGGCCCAAGGCCAATAGGCCTGGGTTTATCTACATTACTGTGTGGTGTTTACTCCCTTTCTTTGTCAGAAGTTGGCTTACTGAAGTCACTGTTAAAAGGTATTAAAGTCAGGACTTGGTGTGACACACCAAACACGTCCAGATGCCTTGAAAAAGGATCCTCCCTCCCCAGATAAGGCTAACAGAGTCAAACAACATAGCCACTCTGTGCTGGCAATCCCCAGGAAGCAGAGCATCTGATAAGCTAGCAAAAATTCTACAGGAATGCAAAGGTTCTTCCTACAGTCCTAAAAAAAAATCTGATTAGAAATAAATATAGCCAGTATCACAGAATCTCTACACCACCATTCAGCTGGCTTGAAACTAAACGTTCAGCATTTTCTGTACTGGGGATTTGGCAGACTACAGCCACCAGAGTAAGAGAAGCAGCACAACCCCTAATATAGGCAGGAAGCCCTTTGTAGCTGCAGAGCTCGGCGTCATGCCTCAGGCGGCAGGAAGGGTAGACCTGCCTGGGTTATAGCAACTCAGTGTCGCCTCTACTGAAAGCAAAAAAAAGTACACAGAATCCTCCCTTACTTTCCCTAATCACACTGATCTTTTCCCACAAAACAGGCGATGACTTGTGGATTACATCTACCGAGTCCCAAACCAGGTTTGATCTTCAAATCACAGTGCATTTGCAAGCTGTGGCCATTCATACTGAATTTTATCTTTATTCACATTAATTTTGCTGCCCTCCCACACAGCCTGCAACTACCCACATGCTCCCATAGTAACAGGAGAGTTTGTACTCTTTGTCTTACATACAGATAACTGTATTGATGAGAAAGTTATATTTTTAAAGACAACTCAGAGGAAAAAAAAACCACAACTTTTTTCTAATGTCGTCAGGAAAATGAAATTATGCATCAGGGGAGGAAACTAATGGAGTTCCTGTTTTCTGGTGGCCAGGGCAATAAAGGCTAGTTATTTACTCAGAGCGTCCATAAACAACCACATCTCTGCCGGTGGCCAGCACGAGCAAAGTGAGACTGGAGCCGCCGACCAAGGCACGGGCACCCCAACTGCCCCTTCCTCCTCTTCCCCTCCGAGGGGGCACCATGCCCAGCCAGCGGAGCGGGGAGACACGCGGCCATCGGCTCATCACACCTGGCTTTTCTCCTCCTGCTTGGGGCTCTGCGCCGGCGGGGGCGGCGGGGCCGGCGAGGGCTGTGTCTCGCTCTCAGCCCGCGAGTGCCTGGGGAGAAGCGACTTGAGCGGCGCCATCCACTTCATCCACAGGTCCAGGTCGACGTCACCCCAGGGCAGAGAGGGGTTCTTGGCCGCCCGCCGCCGAAAGTCCTCGTCGTAGTTCATCCAGGAGGTGCCCCCGTAGGTGGCGTGCAGCTTGCGGATGGTGTCCAGGTACTTGAACATGGCTCCGCAGCGCGCCGGGTGCTTCTCGCACAGCACGCTGGCGTACACCAGGAAGGCCGAGACCCACTGGTCCAGCGTGTCCCCCGGGCGCGGGCCGTGCTCGGGGGCCAGCTCTGTGTGGAGCAAGGAAAACAGGTCAATGAACTCCCCCCGCCAGATCCGCTCCTTGGTGGCCTTGGCCAGCTTGTAGCCCAGCGGCCGCCGCAGCCCCACGTAGGGGGTGGCCGGCGCCTCCGCCGCCGCCTCGCCCTGCCCCGCCGCCGCCGCCGCCGGCGCCGCTGCCGGCGCCGGGCCCCCAGCCGGGCCCGTGGCTGGGCCCGCGGCCGCGCCGCTCGCCGCTGCCGCCGCTGCCGCCGCCTCGGCGCAGGGGCTGGCGGCCGCCGCCGCCGCCCCCAGCGCGGCCTGGCGCTCCAGCCACCGCGGGTTCACGTAGACGGTCCGCAGGCGCGGCGCGGCCCCCGCCGCCGCCCGCGCCGAGCCCTCGGCGCCGGGCTGGAGGCGCAGCACGGCCAGGGCGGCGGGCGCACCCGCGGGCAGGTCGCTGCCGTCCCGCCGCGGGGCCGGCTGGGCCGCCGCCGGCACCTGCAGCAGCGAGGGCGCCGCCCAGGGCGGGGAGCCGCCTCTAGGCCCGGCCGCCGCCGCCAGCGCCTCTAGGCCCGGGAGGCCGAGCCGCGAGCCGGGCGCCACCGCGCCGAGCACCCATCGGGTCTCGGCGATGCCGGCGCGGTCCCGGGGGCTCCGCGACCTCCCCTCCTCCCGGCGGCCGGCGAGCGCCGTCCCCAGCGTCAGCGGGGCCGCGGGTCCGGCCCGGCGGCGGCGGCGGCTCCGCCGCCTCCCACGTGGCATCGGCGCGGCGGCTCCGGGCGGCGCGCGCGGCGGGGGCGGGGCCGCGGCGGGGCCTGACACCGAATCCCCGCCCCCGCCCCGGCCCCGCCCCCCGTGGTTCGGCACTGCCCGCGGTGTTCCAGGGGTTTGTCCCGCTGGGCGCTGAAATGCCTGACTTCCACGGATTTCACGGAGTATTCTGAGTTGGAAGCACCCACGAGGATCATGGACTCCAACTCTGAAGTGAATGGCTCGTAAGGGGATTGAACCCGCGATTTTGGTGTTCTTAGCACCATGGTCTAACCACAGAGCACATAATACTCTCTCTAAAAAAATAAACCCCCAAACTATATAGTGTATATATATGAATGCTATATATATATAAATATACATTATTCATGTAAACTATATGTATTTGTATATACTATACACTAATATATATGCTACTGTATTGTAGATGCACAATAGCAGTCCCTGTTTTCATTATTACTGCTTCAGTAGAGCAAATGTTTCAAGGAGTTACAGCATTCCATCACTTTTCCCTTCCAGTATAAATAAGTATATTTTTCTCATTATAGAATTTTATTTTTTTTTCCTGTGTGCTATCACATAGATTCAGCTGTCTTACCTAAGCATTGAGTAGCCAATTTGGGCAAACACTTGCCCAGACTCCTCAGGGTGTCTCAGTGACTGACCTGCAGAGTCGCATGCCGGGTAAGAAACAGGGGAGGACTTCATGGGAGATGCAGCCCTGTGGGGAATTTCCTTCCTAGTCATATCCAAACACTTTCTACCACACAGCCATCTACGTCTTACTGAGGTCACTGTCAAAACACATGGTAGTCTTTGTAGAAACAGGACCAGGCCATCACACTATGTGGTTACCATCTGGGTGAAGGTCAAACACCACTGGAACCAAAGAAGGGCGCTGGCTCCTTGTGTGGACTTATGCACCCACTCCCCAGCTGCTTCCACAAACACTTCTGTAGGGCTCTCTCTTTTGGAGAATCAGTCTTGAATGCTGTGCTGAAATGTCTGTAGATCAATTCCACTGCAATACAGACAAAAGTTCTGTAAAAAATGTAGCAGATATTTCATCTTAATGGAAAAACTAAAGATTTTAGATAAAAGTGTTTCTGTCCAAAAAATCAAATCTCAGGAATGACAAAGTTAGAAATCCTTCCCTAAGAAAAAAGTAAGGTAAAAGGGTGGCTTTGGGATTTTTTTTAATGTTTAATAAATTCTAAAGAAATAATAAGAAAACAAAATAGTCCTGGTTTCTGATTCACCCTTGTTTTCAGTGATTTGTTCAGAAGTCTGAACAGACTCTGTTTAATTCTTGAGATGAATACACTCTTATTTTCTTAAGGAATTGTTTTTTAAAGTTCAACCAAAGCAGGTGGCAGTATCTCCTTCTAATTTCACTGTACTAGGGCATTAATAAAACCAGATTGTTAAAATAACTCTAAGACCATAACTTCTCTAAAACTTGCCCATGCATCAGGCATGCTATTAAGTCAGGTGATAGGCATTTATATATCTCTCTGAAATTTTCTGAAGGTTAAGGTTTTCTTGACTTTAGTCCAAAATTAATATTTGGTTAGAACCAGAGAGTTGTTCAAGTTGGAGGGAACCTCCAGAGGTCTCTAGTCCAACCTCCTGCTCACAGCAGAGTAAAAACTAAACTAAGACAAGGTTGTTCAGTGCCTTGTTCAGTCAGGTCTTGAACACCACCAATGATGGGGATTCCACAACCTATTCCAGTGCTTAATAATCCTCAGTGACTTTTTTTTCCTTACATGAAGTTCTCTGTCCATTTTTGACTACTGTCTGTCATCCACTCACTCTGAATTTCAGTACAGAGCCTGGCTCCACTTTTTTGATAAGCCCCTTGTAGGAACTGGAAGGCTGTTACTAGGTTTCCCTTTCTCCAGGCTGAACAAGTCCAGCTAGCTTTCCTAGCATATCCTCACAGGGCAAATGTTCCACCTCCCAACTGTCTTGGTGGCCCTCCAAGCTGAAGTTTGTCAAAGTCTTCCTTAATTGCAGTCACATAAACTAGACTGTTCCAGATGAGGTCTGTTGAATGCTGTGTGAAAGCAAATAATCACATCCCTCGGTCTATTGACTACATTTCTGTTGATGCAGCCCAGGATTCTTTTAGCCTTCATCCCTGAAAGGGCTTCCTGCTCCCTCATGTTTGGCCTATTGACCATCAGAGCACCTGAGCTCCTTCCCATCAGAGCTGCTCCCAGCCCATAGAAATGCAGAAGTAAGTCCACACCAAGTGCACTTGTCCTCACTGACTTTCAAAAGATCCCTGTTCTCACATTCAACTGGCCTGTCTAACCCCTCTGAATGGCAGCCCTTCCCTGGAGCAGGTTGACTGTACGCTTTAATTTGATGTTGTCCACAAACTGGATGAAAGTTCATTCTGAGTCCTCCTCCGGGCTATTGATATGAGTATAAAACAGGACACAAATCAATACAGACTTACGAAGAACTGCACTTGTAACCAGCTTCCCTGTAGAGTATGAACCATTAATCACTGTGATCCAATCAGTTTTTCTCTCTGTCTCAATAAGGAAGCTGTCGGAGATTGTGCCAAAAGCCTCCTATCCACTGCTCTCCCATCATCCATGGACCAAGGCAGGTGATCAGATTGGTTACATATGATTTACCCTTGGTAAATCCATGCTGAGTCTTTCAGTTCCTCGACTGCTATTGCCAACTTATGGTTGCAAAGACATGTGTCACACGAACAGCTTTGCTTTGTAAGGGAAAGAAGGGTTGACAACCAATATGAGATCAATTAGTACTGTCTCACTATTCCTCTGCAGATATGGCTGCACAGCTGGTATTTTGTGCCTGGAGGTTACCATTCAAGTTTGGGGACTAGTACTGTCTTTTTGTCCTATGCTTGTACCATGCCCACTAGAGCCCCTGAGTTGCAGGGTGGTGCTGCCAGGTCTCACAATAATGCAGTTCATAATAATGCATAATACTGCAGTGATAATGAACAGAAACTTTGAAAATAATCAGTAAGTGCTTTTATTGCAATTTCTCCTGAAATATGCAGACAGCAGCTAAGGCAGGTAGTGAAGTTGTCTACACAAAGCATCTCTGTACATATGCTGCATTTACTCTTTGAATTGCAGCTGTGATGCTCCAGGTCTGTGCCTCATGAAAGCTATAATTTTTCATGGGGGCTTTCATGAAGAAAACCATCTGTGCAGTAGTAATGCCTGGTCTGAAGCAGGTGGAAATAAGAATGCTTTGCTCCCACCTCATTTAGAGTAGTTACTCGTAAACTGATGTATGCTCCTAACTATGCACTTACCTGATTGTTTCAGACTCCTTTCACAGTCTGCGTGTGCAGTGTGTAAGGATCCGAGCTGGCACTTGGATGTTTGCCCACTGGCAGCTGGCTGTGCCCAAGAATATCAGCACTGCAAAGTGGGCAATGCACCTCACAGGGAATGGCATAAACAGTTTTTGGTGGATTTTGGATGTAGATGTGATTGTCCTCTCTACTCCTCATGTGATGAGCTCCTTACAACTCTGAATTTCCCTCTCTGCCTTTTTCCCTATGTCTTCTTGTTCCTTTATGGTCCAATGATAGGTTTGTAGAGGTCAAAAAAGCGAGTACTTGGAGCCACACATCTGTATAGTTGTACTGCAGATGTGTCATTTCAACCAAATTGCTACCATGGGCACAGAACTGCAGAAACAAACACGGATTATTGTTTTATGCTTCAGACCTTCTTCTTAGTCTCAAGTATGAGACTTATTTAAGGCATTAATGAGGAGGCAAAATGAAGCTTTAAACAGAAACAGCTGCAACCTTAACTGTGGAGGAACTTGGAATTAGGCAATAGCACAGTTTATTAAAACAAGGGGGAAAAGCTACTTTGCAGACAAAAAGAAAAAAAAATAATCCCATTTGTAAACATTACCTAAAATCAGAACACCTTCCTTTGAAAGTGGATGGGCTCTTGTTCTGCTGCTCTTTATGAAGTTTAAACAGCACCACACAGAAGAGAACTGTCTACTCCCTCCATTGATTAAACCAGAAAGCACTGCCACAGAAAACTTAACTGCACAGGCTCCAGGATGTCAGGGAGAACAACACAACGCTGCACTAAGGTTTGAGGAGAAAACACAGAATGAGGAGAAAATAATAACCCTTTTATTGTGCTCAAGAACTTTTATTTTCAAAATAGCCTTTTTCTAAGGAAATTTTCTAAGAGTTGTCTGCAACACTTTTGGGGACACTATGGAGCTGGTGGGTTTTCCAAGTCAAAAAGAAGGATGCTTAGGCCCCATGGAGTCAGTAGTCTTAACAGTGAGTTTGTCCGAGATGGGAGATTCAAGACTTGCACAGGAGTTTTTAGCTAATCTGTCCTTAGGCATCTTCCACTCCTTCTGTAAATAAAAGTATAGGTGTGGAAGAAAAGCAGGATTTGGTTTTGTGTTTTGCTTTCCATCTCGAAAGTTGTAACGGCTGTAGACTTCACTGACAAAAGAGCAACTGAACTGAACCCACCCATGAAGCTAATGATTACTTAATAAAGTTGAAACACTAAGTAAATGATGGTGTGTGGGGCCCAGAAAGAACCTGAGAAGCATTGCTGTTGAACTGCTTCCAGTGAGGGGAGGACTGTAATATTCCATTTGGAGTTGGGGCAAGAGTCAAAGTCTATGGGGAGTCTGAGGGACTGTTTCCCTCACTGCAGGTAAGGAAGGAGCTGTCTGGCTACCTTCATGGTGCTGCATGGTATTGTTCCTCTGTGTGCATTCTATTTCTTCATTACTTTACAGTTTTGCCTTTTCCAAGTTTGTTCTGTTGTTTTTTCTTTTTTTTTTTGATAAAAGTTTCCTTGCCTATGCTTGGAGAGAGCGAGCAGAAAAAGCCTCAATGGGAGATCAAGCATGTTCAGTCACTTCTCCTGAGGAGGCTCAGCTTCACTGGTCACACTCCCTTTTTCTGCTGCCATGAGATACTCAGCAGAAGATGTACAGGTCTTGAGTGACCCATGCTGCCTGTGGGACTCAGGTCCACGTGCCCTCAGAGTAAGTGTTTTGGCAGGGATGGAAAGAGACACATGGGTCAGAAGATAATTACTAGTCGAGCTCCGCTGAAGGTTCCGTCCCGTGTGTTGGACACTGCGAGCACCCTGCCTATTGCTGGGAGTTCTTCCTAAAGTCCTCAGCTCTCTCCGACACAGACCAGGTCCCATGTCCTTCAGCCTAGACGGGAAGGGGACGCGGCGCTGGGCTCAGAAAGGTCAGACCGGCCCTTTCCCAGGCTGCGCCTCGGGAACGATCGCTCCGCAGAACAGCCGTCCGTCGCTACTCGCTCCCTCCCCAAAACAGAACCAGCCCGTGCCGGTGCGGCAGCGCCGGGACCCGGAGCCCAGGCGTGGGCAGCCGGCGGAAGCACCGAGGTGCGGGCGGCACCGGGACGAGCTCTCCCAGCCCCGGGGGGCGCAGACGGGTCCGGCCACCCCCGGACCCGACGGGTGCCTGTGCGGGGTGGGCGGCCCGGGCTCCCGTGCGCATCACGGCCGAGGGGGGAGTGACTCTGGCAGCCTGCGGCGAGCCCAGATAAAAGCTCCGCTGCTGCCGTCTCCCCTCCCCTTTTCTCTCGTAACTTTTTTTTTTTTTTTCCCCGTTTCCCTCCCTCTCTCTCTCAGCAAAGTGACCGCG